TTTTGTAGTAATAAAGCGCCATTACTTTTTGAAGGTAGTCCAAATTATTTTTAAGTCCTTTTCGTCAAAATGTCGAAGGTAACACACCAATTGGAGCTCAATCTATACAGTGATATTTGAGTTTGTAAATGACATACAGTTAAGTTTTTTAATGTGATAGAGCGATTATCTAACAAAATAAAAAGGTGAAGTTACAGTTTCTGTTGTTGTATTTCGTTCAGTGAGTGAGAGTTGTCGTGGTTCCCCCTCCATCAGATATCGTAATCTCTTCCTAAAAGTATTTGTGACCCAATTGTTCCTTCATCAGATTCGCCCTAATACCTGTGATGGTGCGAGTATTCATGAGCTGCGATGATCACTGGCTCTCTAGTGGATCGTATGCTCGTGTGACCCTTTAAATGCCGTATAAATATACACAAATATGTGATTAACATATACTTAATTATGGTATATATAATAATCAATATTAATGAGCCATTCTGGAAAATCTTTTAGGTATGTAAATTTTTTTAAGTAAAACCTTTCCCTCTCTGGAGAATAAAAAGTGTTTGATGAAAAAAGAGATAACAATATACTAATTTTCTACTTTTTGAGCAGAAAAGTAAATATTTGAATTATTTTCCTTTCTCTTACATATGCCGTTATCTAGGGATACGCCTAGGTTGTCAATTGTCATACAGTATACTATACTGTATTTTGTTTCCTCGAAACTGTAACATGAGATTTCATTACTAGCATCACTTGACAATGAGAGAATCAGGGTAGAGAGGAGGGATTAGAGACAAAAGGGAAGACAGAGACAAGAGGGAAGACTACAATCTTTTCTCTTGACCGTACATACTTCTGTTAATAGTATGATGGGAATACAAATAACTTTTTTAGTTCTGCAGTCAACGAGATCATCGACAACTGCTTAGCTTACTTTCTCGTGTACAGTACTCGAGAAAATGAGTATCGTATCGCAGTCCTCCTTAGCGTTTATCAGCGCTATAGAGACCTGCGACAGGTGGAAGGCGCGTGCCTCCGGCCCGGACCCCTTCTGGAGCAAAATGTGAGCTTTTGCATTTCGCTATTGTTGTATATTTTATGTTACTGTTTGTACTAACTTCAAAATTTAATATAAATGTCTTGTATTTGTCTTATAAAAGAGAAAGAAGTGAAAGGTAATCATAAATTCAATTAGCTTCTAAAATAAATTACATCGTCAATATTTCTTAAAGGGTTTTTGAATGTTTCGAGAAAACTTATTTAGGAACTTAATAAAGTTTCAGCAGGCATTTTCGTATTCTTTTTTTGCTTCTTTTCGAATTCAAGTTTTGAGTAATGAAACAAATAGTAAGTTTGTTTCATTACTCAAAGCTTGTTTCCACAATTGCAATTATAGTTAGTGTTGCCATAATTGTTGAAAATTTACACGATACGTTCAGTTCAATATTAATAAACTGATTAAAGCCAGTAGTACCGATTATTTATCGTAAAATAATCAATGAATAAACAGCAAAACTTCAATCTAATTAAACAAACAAAATAAATTAAATGATAACTGAGTACACGATCCAACAGGAAGTGATTTCCGTCGAGTGATACTGTTTTGATGTAGATTTCATTTAACACTGACATCTATTTGTTTACTGACAATCGTAGAATTGGCCGCATGTTATCAATATAATGACAAATCAGATTTGATTCAACCATCTTTATTCACCACTCGTTTGTTTTGTCTGGTAACCGTTCATTTGCATGTTTCCCTTTTATAATTTTTTACGATATTGTGATGAAAAACGAGACGCGCACTGTTCACGTAGTAATAAGGGACTCGACGTTCAAACGCGGGGACAGCCCTGTGTATAAGGGACGTAACTCTATTCACATTGTCGCGCTGGCTGGACAATGGCAGTGCAAAGAAAATGTGATGATTTGTTTGTAATCAGTCCGAAATCTTTTAACGTTCAATCATAAGTGACTCATTTCAAAATCGTACTTAATAGCTAAACTGTAGATGTATAAACTAATAACTTCAAATTCAATCTACGTAGCAAAGCCCTTTTTGCTATTTGCGTCCGTTTTATGATCATTTTTAATCGAAATTTTTAGAAAATTTTCGAAAATGCTTAGTTACAGGTCAAAAGACAGCATCGGAGTTTCGGTATTCGTCACAGGCAGCCGATGCGCGAAACCGTAGGCGGGGCGAGTAACGATGACGAGAAGTCGCGTAATAGTCTCAGTGGAGGTGGTAACACTTTTCAGTTTTTTGTCATAATTGAACTTTTAAAGTTTCAATACTTTTTAATACATGTGACATCGCGTAGCTCATGACTCGCCTCCCCCTGCATACTTTGTCCCCCGCTCCCGGCCCTAACGTGTGACGTAATCTATGGATGATCCCTACCTTATAAGGGCCATAATATATAAGTTATAAAAGTTTGATTGGAATCGATCTATGATTTTTAAGTTAATTTCAATATATTGGCTCTTTTTTGATAAAATGATTAATATGTTTGGCCATGACAAAAAATTGAATGACATGGATTCGCGAATGCCAGCATATGCAGGCGTCGACGTCTCCTGCGCATAAAGAGCCTGTCATCGGCGTCGTGCGCGTGCTCCCCGCTCGGACGAGCTAAACAATTGTTATATTATAATCGGCCTGCTACAGAAACTGAGGGGTAATTTTCGAAACCTCAAAACGGCAACATATGGTAGCGGCAGACGCCGTACGCAGCCAACTGTCGCGTTTTCCGTCTCTGTCTTTGAAAGGAGCTCTTTTCGTACGCTAGAAGGAGACGGCCATCCGATTCATTAGTAGGTAGTGCTATCATTTGAATGTTGAATCGCAAAAAAAAAGTATTGTTTGTGTATTGGCGCATGCGCGGGACACGTGCTAAGGAACAACGGAAGTAGGCTTTGGCGCGAATCGCTCGATTCGTATTTTAAACATCGAACAGGATATTGAAGGGATAATGGGGATTTTTTTTGTTTCTATACGTGAAAGCATATGGGCGGTGCGAGGAAATTAGACATGGTAAACCGTGTTTGTAAATAATATAAAGCTATAAAAAGAAAATAACGCTTTTATTGTTTAAATTATACCCTATTTTTGAATGAAATACATGAAAATGGACTCAATAAACAATAAAATTATACGTTGCAATGTAAAATTTAAAATACAAAAAAGAGAAATACAGTTTTGTTTTTAATTTGATTATATGAGTCACTAAGAAAACGTACAGGAACAAAATGAAATGATAACGAAAAATTAATAATTCTTTATACCCTTATGGACATGAGTCGTAGACATATTACGAATTGCTACATTTGTGAAAAGAGTGCCGAAAAGAAAATAAGGAAGACTTAACAATATAATAATCAGCGAAGATTTGCTACAAAAAGCACGCGTGACAGCACAAAATGCTGTCTTGTTTCCTACACTAATGTGTGTATATGAATGCCGAGTCCAGCAATAGGAGTCCTTTTTTGTGCATTCCAAAACACGTAATTAAAATTAAAATTCTTAAAATATTTTTAAACGGCCTTGAAGTTTTGCAAATATGTTATACTTTTGTAGCGAGATTATACATTTTAATAGTATTGCAATTTCTAGAACTCTGCGTTCCATCGAATAAGCTGTTCCTTGAAAGACCGACCAGTAACTGAACCCAACCACCCAACCAAAAACAAAACAACTGAAAGTTTCTTCGATAATAGATTCGGTAATATATTAAACTTGAGATGTTCTCAAATGGTTCCTTCGAAAGACAAATCAACATCATAGTTGATTACCTTTAAAAGTATTTCTATATTTTCTCATACCACTTTGACGTAAGCCAAAAATAATATTTAATGGTTGTCGAGTAGGGTTACGCATGTGCGGGCGCCGGTCGGCCAAGCAGCCATTATCCGTTATTAAACGCGGCGACCGTTAGATCTTTGCTTTTTTAATTTTTCAAATTGTAAGCGCGTGCATTTTGCTAATAATAATGATATTATTAAATTTATATACGTCTCTAATTTCACAGATGCAACTGCTTCCCTGTTTGCTTATTATATGTTATTACATTTATTCCAAATATGTGTCCTAGCAAAATGGCACTCACAGGACAAGAAAGTTTTAAGGAATGATTCTTGATCAGTCAACACAATCGAAAATATTATGCCGAGGTGATTGACTGAATCTAGGTGTTTTGGCTTCGTTATTTTCTTTTTCGGTCGATCATCACTTTTCAGCCGAAACTAATTCGGGATTATACCAAAGAACACTATTTATTAACAGTAAGGTATGAAATTCTGTCAAGTAGTTGCGTATTTTCGTAAAGAATAAATACATATTTAAATATATAGAGAATATATAGAGAATAGACACATATTTTTCCGATTAATTATAGTTATATAAAACCTCATTAGGTGTCTTTGGGATACCCGGTTGGAACGAAATACATTTACATACGTTTGCTTTATGTAAATGTATTTTACGAACTGAATATTCAATTCATAAAATACTTTTACATACAGCAAAATAACAATGAAATTAATTGCAACGTTTGAAAGTATGTAATTAAATAAATAATAATAATATAAGTGAATAAATTATAAGAAATATTTGTAAGGTGTGAATAAACATTTTTTTTTGTTAAAATTAAAAAAAAAAAACACACTAAACAGCGCCATCTGTTTTATTTATTTAATACTTTGTTAAGTTCGTCAATTTGCATAATTATGTAATTATGAAATCAATAATAGATATCACATTCACATATTTGTATAAATTTTTATTTATTGGGAGCTTAAAATTAAATACTCTCCAGAATTGAAAGAACCCAAAAAGAAAAGGAAATTATAAAGTATATACGAGTACAATGAAATAAATTAACAAGCTTAGAAAGTAACGAAAAATGCAACAAAAAGAATAAAGCAAGGGTAATAAAAAATTATAATAACAATTGTAATTAATATTTTATTGTAAATTACCATAAAAAGAAAGCAAGGCCAAAAAAGCCAATTTCACGCGTTGTTCCCAGGCGGTCACCCATCCAAGTACTGATCGCGCCCAATGCTGCTTTTCTTCGGTGATTGGACAACAACCGGTGTATTCGGGGCGGTATGGCCGTCGGTAAACAATTTTATAAAAATGTTAACTAAAGCTCACAGTGGTCAGTATTTTTCGTTGCGGTTACACTTTTTTTCGTGTAGCTCCCAAACGCCGAGAGTCTGAGTGTAACATGCGATAAGGAACTGCTTTCCAAAATGGTTTTAAAATATCGTAAAAACTTATGAAGTAAATAATGCTATCGTAAAGGTAACTCTGCGCATCGGAGTGCGAACTACCGGAATTCAGTCGTGCCGCTACAGCATACACGTACACATGCACGGACGAAACATGCTGACACCAGGGACCAGTGGTCATTAAGAATGTGTCCATGTCGTTGTTCAAGTTTTGAATATGTTCAAGGCTAATTAAAATTAAGAAGGATTTTCAATATAACTACTACGAGATTATTTGGCCTCAAACAATTGCAACCAGATGTCGTATATAATATGATTGCCATTTCGGACAAATGCTGCCTAGAAACATCTCTTTATTTTTAAATCTACCTCGCATACTTTAAACTAAAAAAGAATATCTGTGATAGGAGATCTTACTAAAGCACTAATCACGACGCTATTTGGCTTATTCGGTGTGCGCATGCGGGTCTATTTAAGTAACAAACAATATCCAAACCGTTCCAACAATTAGACGAATATTTTCAAATAAATACTTTTTAAAATTAGATTTATCTGTATTTTTTCTCGTGTGGACGTACAACAAAATTTTACACGCTTATACTTAATTTTTGTCTCATCTTAAACTCATAACCAAGTTCCACTTCCAATTTTGACCTCGATTTGGTTCCAATCTCGCTCCCAGACCCCGATTCTTCGACGATTTTCTAGATCAATTGGGATACAGGATACAAAGTATTTTATGTTGGTAAACTTAAATGTGATAATAATAATAATCATAATAAGTACATTTATGCTACATTTTAGCAAAAGTTTTGGCAAGTCAGTTTGATTGATAAGGGCAAAAAACCCACTTTCGCATTTAGGTATGAATGATAAAATATTTTGATAATCCTTTACAACAGCGTTTATAGAGTATTTTTTTTCCAACACTGCTTCATTATTTTAGTTTTATATGGAACTACACTGTAATCATTTTACAATACAACTCAGTAGACGTTCATTAAATCAACAATCATTTTAATGATTTACTAAGACTAAGTCTTGTAATCGGTATCCTTTAGCAAAATAAGTGTAGTGTCACCTATCCGGTACTCCAAGGGAATAAAGGAGGAACAGGAATGAAAATTCGCAACGGCATCTTTAGTAGAATGATTCGTGTTTTCATAGACCTAATTTTTGAAATTGAAATATCTGTCATTGCCAAAGGATTTGGAAAGTTTTTCGGAATGTTAAAAGCGATTAAATTGTTAGTGCATTGTGTAAACACCACGTCTGTAGTAACATCACTTTGGTGGTGATGTTGTCCCTGCTAATACTTTATTGTGGTGAAAATACCTGCGTACAAATGTTACAAAAAATTGAAGGTTATCGGTATATGGCCTGCTTGTGAACAATTAAATTAGATGTTAAGCGTGAACGGTCGAAGAGCTCTTTCAGAACCAAACAAAACAAAACGAACAAGGACAAAGGGCGACTCATGCACGCGACAGTTTTACAAAACTACAATCCAGGTGGCTGTCTGAGCCATGCACGTCGACGTCTGCGACTGCAACTGCATCCAGGCTTAAGTTGATGAGGTAACGGGTTAATAAACAGTTATCCCAATTTCCCAACCGACAGTTCACTATTTCAGAGCTATCGCACTCGTATGGTATCATTCATTACGTTAAAGGTAGACCATGCAATGAGCGATCCATCACTTTCGTTTTGTATAAAAAAAGTAAACAGTAAAAAACAATGTACTTTTATTAGGTGAAATACAGCGATGAGTAGACAACAAGTGTCATGTATTTAGAAAGTTATAAAAGTTTAAAAATAAATTATTCAGTTAGATATGTTTATTACACTCATTATTCCAATCGTAGGCATTCCGAATTTAATGTGTAACTTCGCCACAAAAAAAGCTTTAGACACAACAATTAATTAATAAAAAATACTCTCCTGTGGGGTGACGAAATGGGAATCGAACTCACAATAGAAACGGCACAATAGCCCCCCGCGCCGCGCGGCCAGCGAGGATTGACAATCGAGGGACACCTACGAAGTGGTAGGAAAAAAATTACACCCCAACACCCACCGCGCCTATTCCTACGATGACATACGAGGGACTGTCTTTTAATTGAATTACGTTTGAAATCGGTCGTGTGTATCGAACTTTATAATTATCATTGTTCGTGAGTTTCGAACTACCTAAGTGTGCAGAAAGAACTGTACCATTACGCACTTTAAGGGGTCATCCATTATTTACGTACGTGAGGAAATTTTAACAATTTTTCAACACTTCCCTTTCCCTTAGTGAGATGTTGTGAGATTTGGTTTGAGCCCTCCCCCATCCTTAAAATCAATTGAGATTTTTTAAAATTTATAATTTTGAATGTGAATACGTTAATTTAAGCTTGATTGCGTTAGATTTGTTTAAAATCATATCTTGGTTAATTATAATTTTAAAACTAAACGACTAACATTTAAGACTACTATAAACGTAATCTAGAATCACAGTGAGAAAATCGAAAAGGAAAATACTTAAATGGGAACCATAAAAATTCTTAAAGAAATATTCATCCTAATTTTAATCAGTTCACTGAGACTCGTGTGTGGTCCCAGAGCGACTAATGAAACCAACATATCCATGTGGTTTTCACTAAAATCATCTGCTACTGCCTCAGCCTTCCTGATTTAGCCATTCTAAACCGTTGTTGCTCGCACACAGAAGCTCGTAGTTGAATAAACATGATTATGTAAGATTTGGCCACATTCTAGTGGGAGAAAATGTTTTACTAAATTTAACCCAATTGTCTCTTAATTTCGCACCATCTTTTTGGGGAAAAAAATAATTTGATATTTGTCGAGATCTCATAACGGACGCAGCTTACAGTTTAAAAATAATCTTTAATTTATATACAAAAAAAAAAATAAATCCGTAAATATTCATTAATAGTCTAAATTTAAGGAAAAATGAACACATCATATTACTTATTATTATTCTTTTATTTTTTAATTTCTATAAACCTAGGCCTATTTCCCTAAAGGGTGGGCAGAAACTATAGATCTCCATGTAGTACGATATTTGCATACCTCTTCTACTTCACTGACGTCCACAAAACGTTTCATGCAAACGTAAAAGGTATCGTATGTTCAAACTTTAGCTCTTCTTTCATACGGTACCAATTCATCTACACAAGATTTTCTACGGCCCGCTTACCGACTCTCTCATACAAACTTTCGCTCTATTGATTTTTAGTCATTTTGCTTTCATTCAACCTTGCCCTGTAATCAAACCATTGTAATATACCTTTTTGTATTCTTATTACTACGTTTTCCTTCAAACCACCTCGTTTTTTGAGATCACCATTTTATATAGTATTCAAAATATGGAAAACATTCATCTTTAATTTCTTTTGCTTAATATATTTTTTTATATCTGTTAATGAATATATTAAAAGGATAACCTTTTAGATGATAACATCTAATAAGAGTTAAACCGATATTAGCTAATATTTGCATCAAATTTTTAGATCGAGACGAATAATTTTGGATCATCTTGCCTCAACAAATGCTCATGACACTTAAAAGCTTCGAGAAAATAAGCCTCATCATTATAATCTCATTAAAAAAAAACAGTCGAACTTATTGCGAAAGGATTATATTTGGAGGTGAAGACTTAATCTTTGCATTACATTCAAAACTCTATTAAACATGTAAAACAGAATTTCATCGATGTTGGTATAAGCAAAAAATGAGTTTCGAAAACACATCCAGAAACACACTCCAAGATGTTTCGAACCATATCAAAATGAATGACGGACGTCAACGAAGAGAGTTGTAAAGTTTGCATTTCCAGGTGTCGACAGAAAGCTCGATTTAAGCTCGTGCCTCTGTTATTCTTTGACGCATCCATCTCATAAAGAATGTAGGTAGAATTTTTGAAACATCTAAGCGACAGCGCCTGAAGGTGAATGTTGAGTTGGCTGTATCACATTCTTCTATTAATGTTTTGTTCGAAGGCAACTCCCAATTTTCAGGAACACACCAAATCATCGTCCACCGGTCAAATCATCGCCAGCTCGGCTACTACCACCAACAAGCTAGTCGCATCCGCATGTACAGCGTCGACAGTCGCGTTAACGCCTGACACCTGTCGCTTTCCCTCGCTTCCTGCTGCCATGACGCTCGAAGCCCACTACTCTTCGAGTATCTTAACTGCATATCGACGTTTAAGCTGGACAGTCCATAACGTTATAGAACATAATTGTACGCTACAATTTTATACAAGTTGATTGGATGTTTTATTTCTTGATCTCGTACGTGTAAGCGCCCTTTTTGGAGGATCTTGTTTAGTTCAGCACTTATGAATAAGATATGCGTAGTAAGCTACTATATTTATTAACAGCTTGTATGATGTAAAATTAACGTCGTGTTGTCCGTTGATAATAATTTGTAAACAACTATATCAATTGAAATTATTATGCGTAAAAACTTTAATTATAGTAACATGCACTCACGCACTCATTTAATAGGACATATGTAAAATTATCTCAATTATTACAAATTTCAGTGTAGTGTTTTAGAGTTATAGATGTTTAGTTTAGTCTCCGGTTATGTCGGCGCAGGGCATTCAACCCCGACCCGCACATGTGAAGTGTCCATCTAAAACTGTTCATGTCTGCGGTTGTCAGCTTTGCGATCGGAACTTGTGTTTTCTAATAAGCCTGATTTTGTGCGACATGATATCAGACACCTCCAAAATGCCCTTTGAACACGTTTGTGCCGTGAACGGTGTCGCTTCACTTGTTCACAAACGAGACGCCATTTCCTAAATGCTTTTGGTGAAGTAGATAAAGCACGTAATAAACCTTTGCATTATGTCTCATATATAAAAAGTGTTC